TATGCTTTGGGAGATGAAAGAGAAGATTACTCTATCCAAGAAGTCAAGATTAGGACTGGTCTAGGCAAGAAACTCAAACCTTCAAAAAACAAATTGAATCAGTGTGGGGCTTTTGGCTTTTTTTTTTTTTTTTTTTTTTCCCCCTAGACCTGCAGGTGAAACCTGGATTTCCCATCTGATTTTGAACCTTGCTCTAGTGTTTTGTTCTCTGGTTTTAGCAGTGCCCAGGTAAAGCAGCAGCTAAATTCCTGGTCAGTGCAGTCTCTGATAGTTATCAGCAAACATGTACACTGATTTTAAACAGAGGGTTGCGTGATTGTTTTTATGAAGTATACATCAAATCTCAGCCACTTGGTAATCAGCATGAGACTGAGCCCACAGAGCTGTTTTGTTCTCTTGGTGTGTTTCCCCTTCAGTGCTCTGCTTACAAACTGTCCATAGTGATGCACAATTATCGACTAACGGGAAGCCAGTTGTTACTGCAAAAACTCTTGAGATGCCTTTTTCATATGACTTTGATAAAGCAGTGTGTGGAAAAATGCTCGGATATTGCCATCATGACCACAGAAAAATGACGGCGATCTGCTGCTCTTCTTCCAAAATGGCTTGCAGTAGACGTGAGTCGAAGCATCACACATGGCAATGATCCCACATGCCTCACATCAGTGATATTTACTTTTTCTCAGCTACGTGGGTATGAACGAGCAGCTGTAACACCGCAGTCACCATTGCTGCAGTTAACGTCACACAACATCCTCTTCCTTCCAATACTGCAAAGCCAGTTTTGGGTCTGGTGTGACAGGCCAGTCTCTAATGATTTCCATCTGAAAGCAGAATGCTCTTGTTCAAGAAAGGGAGGGGAGAAAGCCAACGCAGGTTAAACCCAATGGAGCGAACGAGGTGGTACAAAGCAAAGACTATTAGTGAGTGCATTTTCTGCCACACCAGAGAGTTGTCCTGCTTGCTCACTGGCTTCCTTCACTGTTTAAACATGGCAAATTGTGCGATACCATGTTGCTTTTATCTTTGTACTTAAAATCAGATCCTTTATCTAAAAAGAGCCCTAAACCCCAGATATATCCCTAACCTGCACCTATTTTAAGGCCTGAAACCGCGTGGCCTTCTCCATTAAGGTCTATACTCTTGCTTTTCTGTAGGCAAAATGTGTGATCCCAGCTGTCCTGGCTTGCTCAGTGCTTGAGTACAAATGCAGAACTAGTATCTCTTCAGAGATCGCGAACTCTGGGACCAAAACGTGAGCAGCAGGGACTTCTGCTGTATTTTTCAGCAGACAGAATGTGTCTGGATACAGAGCTAGAATTTTTCAAGTATGTGCACAGAAAAGCTGTGCTTAGAAAAATCATGAGGGAGTTAGGATAATGGCTAGTTTTCTTTGTTCCCGACAACATGAGAACTTCCACAATTGCTCATTAAGGCAGGAGCTGATACTTTAACAAAAAGCAGACTTCCTCTGCTTCATCCCCAGCAGAGAGATGTGTTAAATAAAAGCATGAGAAAAAGACCAAAAGGGACACAAGACAACATAAACAGTCTTTAAATGGTGGCATAGTTTAAATGCAAGATGCTCATTTCACCTTTTCTAGCTTTAAAAACAGTTGCAGTTGGGTAATGGAAAATGACTGGGTAATTGACTGAGATCCAACAGAGGAGAAATCTTGGTTTTGTTTGCCGCACCAGGTGATGTCTGCAACTGCTCAAATTTTTGCTATGTGAAACATGAAATACTTGCCAGGTCACAGACACAGTGATCGGAAAACAAAATACTCCATCATGTGTGCAACAGCTGAAAGTGGGTTTTAAATATTAACAATTTTGAACCAGTGTTTTTAAGTACTAACTGATACAGAGGTATAGACAAAACATTATGAAATTACTTCATAAGCTACTCTCACCAGTGGTTATTTCCTTAGGTGCTCAACATTTGAGAATCTCACCTCTTCAGCAGCACCTTTGGAAAGAACCTGTTTTGATGCCTCAAACACACAGTGCAGTGCCCGATTTGGGGTATTCACCAAGAGTGTTTTCACTGGAGGAGTTTGACTGAATTTGCCCCAGATCAGCTGGTGCTTGTTAAAATCAAGTTTCTCTGTAAGCAAACACTATGCCTCAAGATCCCGGTCTCTTCCCTCTTGGGTGACTGAGAGATCAGGTTCAGGAGCAGCTTACACTACGCTCCTCAAGCCTGAGTGAGAAAAGGAGGTGAGAGAATGAGAAAAACATCTCGTCAAACAGAAAACAAAACAATGGATAAACATGAGTTGAGAAAACGTGGCAGTGGGAAGTGTGCATGCATGCCATGTATCCCTTGTGATATGTATTTTGTGTATATACACCACGTTCACTTAGTTTTTCCCAGACTAGATGTTGTGTGGGTAGAGAGGGATCACAGTAAAAATAGGAGACTCTTGCTCCCAGTAAACAGCACTGCTGTCTCTCTGTCTAGACTTACAACAACACTGTCTGAAAAAAAAAAAAAAAAAAAAGAATAACTGAGCCATGGGTTTAGATTAACCTGATTTTCAAAGACTTTTCTTCGTGCTGTTATAAATTGAAATTGTTAAGTAGTTCCAGAAGGTCACTGAACATCAGATGCTGAATTTTGCTCATCACTAATAAGAAGAATTGGCAGAGGGTGCAAGGAGGCTTGACAATGTTACAGCCTGTGCTGGGAAGTATTGGCTTGGCTTTAATTAGTCTTTAGAGGAGGCAGTAGCTTTGTTGACAGCACCTTTATGAATTGGCTCATAAAAACATTTTATTAATCCCAGCACAGGTCAGAGTGACCAGATATTAACTGAACTGCTGTACTGCAGAAAAAGGAAGGACAGTTGGTGATATCTGAAGGTAAAATAGAAGTATATTTCTTACTAGCAGAGTTACACAGAGGCTTTTCTAAGATGTTTGGTGTCTGAGTTGCTGACAAACACAGTCCCCGTCTGCCTGGCAAAGGAGGAAGGACCCACTGCCGTGGCACAGCAATGGAAGAGGAGGTCTGAACCCAAGATGGTCCTGGCCATCTCCTGCATCTCTACAGCTAAGCCAGTGGGCTCATTTAGGATCAATATACACTTGGATTCAACTGTAATCAGAAAAAAACCCCGAGGATTTAGTGTTTTGGATCATTTTTCTCTTAAAGTGGTCAATTTTTAAATATTCCCAGCCGGTGTGTCCATGTAGCATAGCCATGGAGCCAGGGTAGGAAGACTGCCACATTCACTGTTTCCAGACATCGTCAGCACATACACCGATGTTGGAGGTTTTCTTTTTTTGTAATTCCCCTCTTGCCTTCTATGCTGCTGAAGCCAGACAGCGGAGAGCAGGTTTTTTGAAACACATACCTCCTCTCCTCATCTTTCAGTTACAGTTTTTTCCAGCTGAAAACCAAAACATGAGCAATTTGCAGTGGACAGGCCGTTACTAAAAACGACTATGGAAAAGGCAAATGCTTTTCAGCCGATTCAACCAGGTGCTCGCCTTCTGCATTAAGCCTGTGAGAGGGTTAAGACAATTTAAGGCCTTCAAAGTGGCGGTTCTGCACTGGTTTAACTAGATTCGACTAAGCTAAATTCCAATTTTTTTTGGTGAAGGGGAAGCGGTATCGTTCCAGTGAATGTTTAGGACACAGTGAGTATTTCAATAGCTGTCTGCCACACTTCCTTCTGTCTGATCTCTAGCTTTGCTTTATCACACCTTCTAACCTGGATGCTGCTCTAACAGCTTCATTTCGGTTCCCTTATTCACTGGAAGCTACTGAAATAGAAGTTTGTTAAGTTTATCCACCTATCTTAGGTTTTACAGGTAGAGGGTCTGATCTAACCTAATTCTGAAAGCTTCTGAAGATCCGACTGGTCATATTAGTTACCATATGCAACATTATTAAATGCATTCTTATGATCTTTTTCTACACTCATTTGATCCAACTGGTCATATTAGTTGTTACAGTATTCAGCGTTATTAAATGCACTCTTATCATCGTTTTTTTATGCTCATTTGATCCGACTGACTATTGCTTCCACTAACCTGGTGCTGGAACATAGAAAGTAAGGGAATTAATTTAAGCAGGCACTAAAGCAAAGGCTACACCAACACCAAGCCTGCTGTTTAAGCTCCCCTTCTGAAATCACCCTGACAATTGTTGTTTTTTCCCTCCTTCTCGTGATGTTGCAGTTTATCACCTTTCCCTGTGACCCAGTGCAACTAACACCGCAGCCGAACCAACCTGCCTTTCCACAGCCCTCCAAGGTGACAGCTGAAGGTGACATCGGTGCTGTGCAATGGCCATGCTCCAGGCCGGGGCTTCATCCTTCTCGCTGTCAAGGGAGGGGCGGGGGGCCGGCAGATTTTCCTCAGGCGCTGCGGCAGCACCAGCACCCGCTGCGGCTCCAGGCCGCCTGCCTACCCACTGCGCCACAAAATGGCGCCGCCCTGCCGGCGCCGAACTGTCTGCCCGCCCGCTGCGCCACAAAATGGCGCTGCCCTGCCGGCGCCGAACTATCTGCCCGCCCGCTGCGCCACAAAATGGCGCCGCCCTGCCGGCGGAGAACTGCCTGCCCGCCCGCTGCGCCACAAAATGGCGCCGCCCTGCCGGCGGAGAACTGCCTGCCCACCCGCTGCGCCACAAAATGGCGCCGCCCTGCCGGCGGAGAACTGCCTGCCCACCCGCTGCGCCACAAAATGGCGCCGCCCTGCCGGCGGAGAACTGCCTGCCCGCCCGCTGCTCCACAAAATGGCGCCGCCCTGCCGGCGCCGAACTGCCTGCCCGCCCGCTGCGCCACAAAATGGCGCCGCCCTGCCGGCGCCGAACTATCTGCCCGCCCGCTGAGCCACAAAATGGCGCCGCCCTGCCGGCGGAGAACTGCCTGCCCCCCCGCCGCCGACCTCTCGCGAGAGCCCAGCAGGAGCCTCCCCCGCCCGGTCCCAATATATACACGCCCTCCCTTCCCGCTCAACTCTCGCGAGATCCCAGCCGCAGCTGTTGCCGGCGGGCGAGCCCTCCCCGCGGCCCCGCCCCGCTTCCGGCGGCGGCGCTGAGGGGAGGAGGAGCCGCGCCGCCGCCGCCCCCTGCCCCGGGCCAGCCCCGGGGATGGTGTTGGCCACGGCAGCTGGGCCCTGACGCCGCGCTCAGGTACGTACGGGCCGCCTCTTCCCGCTTCTCCTTCAGCCGGGGCTAGCCCCCCCCGCCTCAGCTCAGGCCCGGCCCCTTCCTTCCCTCACCGGCAGCCCCGGCCCGCCAGGCCTCGGAGCCCCGGCGACGCCGGGTGCGGGGTACCCCGCTGGGTCCCCGGGACCGCTCCCTCGGGACAGCAGGGTCGTGCCCCCGCCGCAGCGGCCCAGCGATCCCCCTTGCCCCCCGCGGAGGGGCTTCCCGGTAGCGGCGGCGGTGCAGGGAGGGGAGACCGGCGGTGCCTCCGCTCCTGAGGGAGCTGGAGAAAGCCCGGGGCTCTGTCGCTCTTCTCTGTAAATAAGCACAGCAGCGCTCCCTCCCCGGTGTCGCGCAGTGGTAAAGCCTTACTTTCTCTGTGTGGTTAGCAAGTTTTGGGTGCTGCCTTGCTGAGCTCCGTTGGTGAAATTTTGGGGTATAGCTGGAGCGAATCATCTGTTTTTCACACTGGTCACACTCCTTGGTTTCCTACTTTTCTAGGACCAGCAGTGAGGAAACAGATCTGTAAAGGTATTTAGGCGTTTAACTCGCATTGAATTTGATTTTATTTGGATTTGGCACCCAAAAAGGTTTAGGTTTTTTTTGGGGGGGAAGGTGGGGGAGAGGGTTGCCTGTAGTTTACAGTTTTTCTTTTATTTTTCTTTTTTTTAGGGCTCTGTGTCACTACTTCCCAGACTCTCCTACTTCCCTCCCCTCCCCCTTTCTTTTCTACTTTTTTTTTTTTTTTAATACCAGCTATTGTAATTCTCCCAAGGAAAAAAGGATGGTTTTATCTGCATATTCTTTCTTTCTCTGGGGTAGTGGGAGGAAGAAACCCCTACTGTATGTTTCAGTTGAGCAAGTGGGATTTACATTTGCTCTGAATTTTATTTTTTTTAAATACACATCTTGAAGCTAACACATATACTTGTCAAGTTCAGAGAACTTGACCTTTTTGTAGATTTTACCAGTTTCATACTGTTAGGTACTACTGTGAAATATGTTTTCCTTTTTTTTTAAACCTTGTTACTCACTTATCTTTATGCTCTTCTCAACATCCAAGTGTCAGGCCAGCTGTTTAGTTTCTCCTTTTTGCCCCTTCACCGGCGTTTTGGTGTTGGTTTGATGTTTGGTATGAATTTGTCAGCTCTGTCACAACCTTCGGAAAACAACAGGGCTGTCCTCTGGAGATGTAGTGAGTAGATTGGCAGGCCAGAGGCTTTATCTGCTGTTTTCTCTGGGGCAGGAACAAATGAAACAAACAAGCAAAGTAACTGCTGTTGCAATGGACCTGTTAAACTTCACTGCAGGGCTTGCTTACAAGAAGGAAATAAACATTGGGTCACATAGAGCTGGAGCTAACAAAGATAGATTTTGTATCACGTTTTGTGATTTTTATAGTGTGATTGTCTTCATCTCAGTGGTTTACTGGACTTTATCATTTGACTTATGAATATCTCAGCTGATTCTCCATTTTATACTTTGAGAGCTGAAGTTACCTGAACATCTGTTCCAAGTCTTTGTAACTGCTGCATCATACTTGTGTGGTCTTCTATGCAAGCTAGTTCATGTAAAGACTGTATGTGGACTTTTTACAAGTTTTTTTTCCCTTTATTTTCCTGACTGAACTGGTATGACTAAAGGATAAACATTTCTCCTGCTATTTTAGTGGCGGTGGTCCTAAAGGGTATGGATCTTATAAGCAGCATGCTGGTTTTGGCCAAACTGTTAGGAAGAATGAGTTGCCTTCAGCTAGGAGTAGTGTCAAAATGTATTAAGCCATGACAGACTGAATGTTTTGGTTTTATGACTTTGGCATTCTGTCCACCTTTTATTGCAATTTATGTATCAATGCAGTTATCTTCTATAGTGGAGGACTGACTCAGCAACCACTCTCTTAATTTCAGTTGTCAAATCTCTGTATGTAACTTTCTCCACAGTTGCTTTGCACAGTGAAGAGTTAGTTGTGCAGCTGCATAGATAATTGCACTATTTGCAGTTTAGATCTGTGTCCTGGTAGCAGTCTCAAAGCTGATTTCCTAGTGTTAGAGAATTGTTTCAGTAACCCCTCCCCTTCCTTTTTTTTTTTTTTTTTTTCCTGGCCTGCTGAAAAGTATCTCTGAATATTGTCATGTGAAGTATGGATGAGAATGGCCATAGCAGGTTGTCTGGCCAGGGATCTGGTAGGGATATTTTCACAGCAATTCTGTCAAGGGAGCAATGTCAAGCAGTGGTATACTGCAGGAGATGGTGCAGTGAAATTGGATTGTAAACAATGATGGAAGTCTGACCTTTCTCCAGCAAAATTGAACTTCCTCCTGGCCTGATGTACTGTAACGCTCTCAGTATTCACACTGAAACAAACTCTCATTCTTCAAGTATTCTAGGCCATTCTCATCTTTAATCAGTCATGTTAACATGTATATATCATATTCTTTGTTTGACTGCTAAGAATATGATGATAGTTGTTGAATAAGGAACTAACTGTAACTCGTTTTTGTACTTCTCCCCTCAGTGCTTTAGTTTTGATGATTGACTTTGTTCCAATGTTTGCATTCTAGATTGAAGACAGCAGTAATGCTAACTCTGGCAAGCAAGTTGAAGCGGGATGATGGTGTCAGAGGACCCCGTGCATCCAATCCAGCTTCTGATTCTACTCGGAGGGTGTCTGTTCGAGATAAATTACTTGTTAAAGGTGAAAGGAACTTAGATTTAAATATTTTGGCTTTTGCAGTTTGCAGGTGTGTTGCCAGTAAACAATACTATACTGCATATAAAATTATTTCCATAGGTATTTTTAAAATTGTTTGTGACTTCAGGCTTTATATTTATAGGGTATATATTGGCATACATTGCATCTCCAACAGCTCTTTGCCTATAGGAGACTTATTTTCACTGAATAATGCAAAACGTAAAAAGCCGTCTCCTAATTCTGCTGAAAAATTAATCCATCATTGGGAACTGTGTCATCAGTTAAAACAAGTATGATAAAAAATTGTCACATGAGTGTCACTAAACGTATAGGAGGAGAATATCAGATTTGGCTTGATCAGAAGGTATTTTCTGAGCAAAGCTGTAACTGCCTGTGACAGGAAGGAAAGTCCTAAAAGTAGCCTCAGTGTTCTGGTGGTCTTTAATGATACAGATCAGAGGCAAAAAACTTTTAAAAAGCTTAAAAAAGCAATTCAAACGGATTTTTTTTATAGGCCTGGAGTCACTGGAAGTTCAGTGTGAAGTAGGGAATGAAAAAACAGCACTTGGCTTTTGTAGTACGGTACGGTCTGTTCTAGGAAGGCTGCTGTAGGTTGGTACTAGCTGGCTTGCCATTGGTGGGGAAAAAAGACCCCAGACATTTACTTTGTGGCAGTTCTGCATAAATGATGTAGCGTGAGACAGTGATTAAACTGTAGTAAAACTGGGGACATCTTTCTTACGCTTCATTTTTGCTGTAGCATAGATAATCTTATATTTAGAAATTGATAGGTGCTGACATTTGGCAGCTACTATGGGCTTAAACTCCTGTTTACTCCCTCTGGTAATAGTTGAGTGTTTTAATGGTTGAGCTTGATCTAGTGGCAAGGAATACGTTGTTTAGGTTGATGTTTCTGCTAAAATTGATCAATAGCAAATATACTACTGTTGATATGTAAGATGTCACTATTAGGATTTGTGCAAGGCAAAGGAAAGATCGCATTTCCTGGTCTTACTTCAGAATGACTTGAGACTGACACTGGTATATTCCTGGATGATATTGCTTAACTCTTGCATTACCAATGCATATGGCTTTTTTGAATGAGAGTAGATTTTGCCATGTGTATACTGGGGCAAGGTTTCACTGCACATGCTTCTGCGTTGGTACACTGGGAAGTGCCTCCACTAGACTGTAGGAATGTTACGTTCACAATTTTTTCTCTTTGCGTTGTTCTAAGAACAGGGATTTTTAAGACACGTTAAACCATGATGTGAGAACTCTTGCAAAGAGCTTGCTTTAGGCTTCCAGTTTGGAAAACCTCAGTTAACTTTAGTTCTGAGGGGGAAAGATACCGGGCAGGAGGAATAAGATCTTTAACCAGGCTAAGCTACAAAGCCAAATTACTAAATGTATATAATCTGAGATTTTCACTAACCTACAGGTATAGACTTTAGGGGAATATAGCAGTGCAGTACAAATACCCTCCAACTACAATGCCAGGTACCGTGTGAGGTGCCATAAGAAATTTTACTTTATCCTTAGAGCAATCGTGGGTTTCACTTTTACGACTAAAACATTGTCTAAGTCTGCAGGGGTAGAAAAGAATGTAAGCTATAGAAAATTGGTATTGACATTGTAATTGTTCTGGCTACCATTAGCAAACCTGTGCAGACTAAGTAATGAATGAGTTGAGTCCCAAACTGACAAATGTTAAAAGCAGGGCACTGCCAGCATCCTTCTGACAAGGGTGAGTGCTGGATTGTGATCTGATTGTGTGTGAAAGTTGTATCACGTGACTCTCCCAAAAGAGTTGTAGGAGCGGCTGCCAGTCTGGTTGGAATGATTTCTGGACCAAAATGGGAGCTGACAGTAGATCACTTCAGTATAACTACAGTGAGAGGAAAATGTAGTAGATAGTATGCAGGACTTGTTGGGGATATTCTCTTTTAAGCTATTCTTTAGGCTAAATTGAGACCATTCAGTTACAACAGCTTCTAGAAGTTGCTCCAGCTCTTTAAGGTAGATCTGCTGCAGCAGTGTCTGCAGTGTTGAGAGCCTGAGTGAAGATGGACTTCTGGTCTTGATAGTGTTTTTTAGGTCACGTATAGATCTGCAGGAATGAGTCTGATAGGGAGTGAAGAGCTGTCTGCTAAAGGTGTGCATACAGTGAGGGTGCCTGTTACTTGATTGTTGCTTGATTGTATGAAACTGTGATAGGCTGCTGTATCAGATGTGAAACAAAGTTGATGGGAGCCTGTAAGAGTAGTTTTAAGTGGAAGTTGCTACTGATGTTTGTTTGGAGTTACCAAACAACAGATGACAGTTGCAGAATGAATGAAAGGCTCAATCAGGTCAACCTCCTGTCAACTGAGAATTGAAAAATAATCTGTTCTACAAAAAAGAAAAGAAATGCTGGTCATTGGTAAGGAAGGAGGAGATGGGAAAAGGCCCTGCATGTTCTGTCCTTGTTTGCCCCAGGAACTATGCTGAGATTAGTGCTGGTTCAGTTGTACCTCTTAACGCTGTTAGTACTGGTGGTTTTATTCTACTGTATAAAAGCCTCCTGAGTTGAAGGAACAAGGGACTGTGGTCACGTACGTTAGAAAGCTTAGTGATAGCTATGCTTCTTCCGTACCACACATGGATCCTTTTTGGCCTCAAGTAAGTCTATAGCTTCTGAGTCAGTAGGAGAACCATGGGCAGCTGGTCTGTGCAGCATCCTCCACAGCAGCTTACACGTGCTGTCGTGGAAGCTTAGCTGAGGGTGATTTTTGGCATAGCACACTAAATCCCACTGGGCCCTGGGAGGTGGTGTTAGTGTATGAACCAAGGCCAGAGAGCTGTTCGCCTGTTCAAGTGGTGATGATGATGTGCTAGAGAGATACTTTCCTACTCCTGATCCACAGTAAATTGGCGATAGTCTAATAAGTTGTGCAGACGTCTGCGAGTTTTACTAGAGGTATTGCCCAGACACAGACAGTGTCTGGTTTTTATCTGGAGGTAAATTAAAGACAGCCTTGTTTGTGTTGATAGAGAGTCTAGTCCAGGAAGGCATTATAGGATCTCTTTGAAGGATGTCTTGTCATACTGATAACCCTGCAGTCCTCCAGTGTATTATGTACACTGACTGGTAAATAGCTCAATGCCATTTTGGTTATGGGATAGATGACCGTGACCCCAGCCACTAATAAGTGTAGAAGATGCTTACAAACTTCTAAAAATTTGCCATAGAACAACTACATATGTCTGCTAACCGATACTGCCCTGGAGAAGGAAAAATAAAAGATAATTTAGGTATGATGTTAGCCATTTGCACCATATGGATGAGAAGAAAATTGGAAGTTGTCATTCAAAATACTTTTGCTAAAACTGGAAGTATGAGAGGTATCAGCAGAGTGTCATCAGGTGATGGATGTCCTTGGTGTTAGTGATGGGTGCAAGTTAAACAGCCTTTTTTTCCACTTCTGGGAAATATTCTTAAAATACTATTGCCCTTTGTTAGTTTTTTCTAAGCTGTTCCTTTGATTCCTTACATGTCCAGTATTGTTACATATTCAAATATTAATCAGGGCTCAGGACACTGTTTTGTTGGGTTATTTCATGGACATACTATGAAAGGAAAAACCTCTGTCCCTGGAGTTTTATGTAGGGAAGTAATTCTGAGACAGCTGGATATTCTCCTCCAGCTGTTTTTCCTCTGAGGTATTAGTCATGGCTGCTAAACAGGATTTGATAGCAGCCTGTCCCCTACTGCTTATCTCAGCAACTAATGGAGCACATTTGGGAGGTTAGCAGGGCATATATGTCTGGGGTGAGGGGCATGGTGGTGGTTGTGATCTGAAACCCCGGGAAGTCACAGGAAAACTTCCACCACTTTGAAATCACTGCGGGTGGAAGTGTCTGAGCATGTAGGAGGGTGAGGACTGGTAATTCAGTCCGCCAGTTCTTGGAGAGAGGCTTTCTGGCCAAGGAGGGGGGGACTGAAGAGAGACCAAGCAGTGACTAACATGCTTCAAGACAAATCAGGTGGAGGAAATGTGGATAATTGGAGAAGGTAGAAAACAAATACTGGTGTGAGGAGGAGCAGATGACGGAAATGGTGTTTGAAGTGGCTCTGCTGCCTCCCTGGTCAGGAGAGAGGCTGTAATAAAGCACAACTTTATTAAAAGTTCAGTGTGACTTCTTCTTGCATCTCTATTTGCACTGGACTTTCAATATAGGCTCAGTTGGAGAGTAAGGCCCTAATTCTGTAGGCCTAATATGCAAGTTAGAACAGAGCAAGCAGTACACTTGCTTTAGCAGCTTCCAATTTGTTCTGTGCTGCAGAGGCAATTTTTGATGTTGAATTCATCTCTGAGGGGGAACTTCATTAAGTTAGGAATAGGGGCTACATGGCTGCTCCTGCCTGGCTACTCTGAGTCATGCAGTGCTGAACTTGAAAGGCCGATCCTTTCTGAAAATTTGAAAGGATCTGAGGACAAGTCAAAATACTATTAAGTTTAATATTGTATCATGAAAGTGACTACTAAATTGAATTAAAGATAAAGAACATGCCAGGATGTCAGTAGTAGCAGTGATGTATACCCTTATTGGTCACAAAGATTATCCCTTGAACTGCTTTTTTATGGTACCCCTAAACATCATTCAGTTTTATATTACCAGTGCTGCTTAGTTTGATTGTGCCAGCTTGAAATAACTTGGTGTCTAAGAAAATGAGTTAGCAGGTTTATTTCTTGGTTGTCTTCAACAATTCTGGGTTTTACAACTACATTTATATAACTGGTAAATGTTTCAGGTGTGCATTTGTAGAAGGTAGTGGGAAACTGATCATAAAAATGAAGAAAATGTGCATTGTAAGTTAAAACGAGGAGAATTGATGTATATGCTTTCTTCAAACCTTCAGGTATGGTAATATCTCTCCTCACAATAGTAGAGGAGGAAAATTGAGAGGGGGGGAAAAAATACTTTTTTTGAGAATTAATAAAAACCTTCTCTCATTAACACTGTTGAAATTACTTGAGGCATTGTTTTGAAAATGCTGTGTTAACTTCTGCACATTCCACAACTCAAATCACAGAAGCATTTGCTTTTCAGTGATGCTTCTTACCACACACCTCCCACCCCCTAAAGTGAAATCATTTATTTTGGAAGAAGACAGTGGGAACCACTTTGAATAAGTGATTTATATTTATTAAAGAGGAAACCAGTAGTTTACACTAAAATGCTTGCAGCCTAACTGTGATAGATACTGTAAAGCTAAATGGACACAACAAGAATCGAAGCTAATTTTAAAAATTATTCCTGAGATTTTTTTTCTAGTATTTCACTGACAAAGGGAGGCCTGGTTCAGTCTATTGCTTCAATTCTTACGTTTCTGATTTTCAGCATACCTGAAGTATGAAGTGATACATTGCGGAGTTGGAGATTTCCAACCACAGTGGCTTTTTCTAGTTTTTGATGTTAGGATAATAAGTTTTGTAATAGTGTATAGAAGCTGAAGCATGTGATTTGATAGTATCTTGCTTAAAATAAACATTTGGAAGTGGAAGGGAACATCACTGTCAAAAAAACTGGTAGCATTAGGTGGCTTGTTTAGCTTCTAATACTGGTCTGTACAGATGTATAATGCAGAGGAGTTAAATAGGGAAAGCTATAAAGATAAATGGATAAGAATGAGGAGGCAAACAGCACTGTACTGCTAGAATTAATACTTAGAAAATTGAGTTTTTGTCAGAGTGTCAAGGTATTTCTCATCATCTCTACCAGTCTTAAAGCTGTACATTAAAGAGGGTCCTAAACAGGAGAGGGGACTTTTTGGACAAAACCAGGGAGAAGTAAGCATTGCTGTGGATGAGAACTTAATTTCAGTTGAGGAAATAATGCTTTCATTTGGTGTACTTAAATCCAAACTCCAGTAGGAAGCATGTGGCCTGCCTCTTTGTGGCAAGGCTAGTAAATAAAGCACTTCTATATTCTGGTGGGGTGGGGGAAGGGGAGGGAGCAGAACAATGTGATTATAGCCCGTGCGTTACTGAATATAACATTCACGTGGGTGTCTCTCAAACCATATGCCTGTACACACGTCAGGAGTGTGTGTTCCTATTTCTGTCCTGAGAATTGTCATGGGTAGGGAGAGTTATTGTTTGTGAAATCATTTATTAATAGCTCTGGTGGCTTGTGTTAGGCTTAGCTTTCCCCTGTTTTATAGAGTTCCTAAGCTGCTTCTGAGACATAATCAGTTTGCATTCAACTCTTCCAAAGTCTGCAGTAGGTTTAAGTTTAACCCTTGCCTTTTTACACTTTTTATGGTTTAAAGTAGCATTTGGAACTGTTTAAGCATGTGCATACTGGGTCAAGAGCAGGACTCTTCAACTACACCTGCCACCTGGGTGTGCTCCTGCACCAGATCACATAAGGTTTCAGGAACACCAGACTGGCTGGTCAGGAGCTAGTCTGGATCTGGGCTGACTGCACCCCAGTTTTTTTCCCCTGCAGAAGCTCTGGCGTGTGTCTGCACCTACGGCCTTTCAGACCTACCCAGGATGGTTTATCAGAGTGGGTGCAGTGCCTTGCAGTGATCCTGGCTTTGCTGCTTCTTGTCAACAAGCCCTCTTGTTTGCAAGAAGAATTCAGATGCTCCACAGTGTTACTGCACCTCTAAGCCAGTGCCGAGTGGGCATTGAGGAGTGCCATTTTCCCGTGGGAGTTGTGGGGTGTTTTCACACAGTATTACTGGGTTATCTGATTGTTTGTCTTGGCATCTTAAGGAACGGTGAGGTGCCTGGCTGTGAATTGAGACACGGATACTGATTACCCACAAAACATTATGAGAAGCAGTTGAATTGGGTTTTCGTTACTGTTCAGCTGTAGTTGCAGGCATCTTTTGAAAGAGGAGGTCAGAAAGATTATGAGACTAAGTTTGTTCTTTCATTTAGTAAGGCTTTTGGGACTCTTGAAAGTTCAGTGCATTGGAACTCTAGTTGTTGCTTCTATGTTATGCTTATTTACAAATCTATTAAACCATGCCAGTAAGCTGGCAGACTGCACAAGGGGCATTTTCTTACAGAGAATATTCTTGTCAGTGGTATTGCTTTATGTAGAAAATATGTAATTTAAACCATTAGAATTTTAATATAGTTTGAATGGTGTGGGCAACATGTTTGCTTTCTGAGCAGCAAAACAGAAAAATTATTTCAATGTCAGGCCTGTCACTATCAAAGTCATAGAATTTGGAAAACTCACAAATGCTGTAGCTTTGGCCCACTAAATGTGATAGTTATTGTTAATAACCGATGTTTATATGGCACAGTTGCTAGTAACAACTGTTTCTCTGATGTTACTTTAAAAGTTTAGATTATTGAAGCAGGTCTTTACCTGCATTTTTACTCTTTCTAAAGTTGCTTTGTTCCTAGTTTCAGTGATTTTGTTGCACAGTTCAATAGAAACGTTAATTTTGGGGAGCTTGCCTTTGCTTACAAAGCATTTGTGTGGATTAGTTATCATAACCTTCCCACCTGTTTTCACACCTTCAAAGAAAGAGCATGCTGCTCCATACTTATGGGTGTGAGCACCTTTTGTTTTCATGTTTTTGCAAGAAAACCTGCTTATTCTTGTGCCAAGACAAAGGGAAACACAGAAGTGTGAATGCATTACAAGAAATTTTTCGCACTTCAAAGGAAGTATGGTGGTCAGTAAACTCTCTGCCGAACTTGTAAGATGCAGAAGTGAGGCCCCAGCTCAGCACAGCTGCTGCAGCCCAGCCATTGCTGGGTTTGAACATGCTCTGTCCCTTGATGTCTCCCTTTTCTCTGCTGCCCTTTGCTCTGAGTTGAAGCAAACGCAGGCAGGATTAATTAAACCAAACAACGCACAAGCACAGAAAGCAATAAGGAAGTTGGTCAACACCTTAAAGTAAGAGCCAGGTCCTAAACTCTACCATCTAGTGAAGATTGATAGTGCCTCCAGCTACGAAAGGCTGTTGAGCTTAAGGAGAAAGGGCTGGAGGAATACCCTCATGATGGGTTTGTATAGCTGTAACCATTAGTGGTTGGTTATGTCTTGTCTTTTTTTTTTTCTAACCAGAAAGGGAAGGTGAAAATTAAGTCTTTGATTATAGCTGAAATTACATTTCTGGTATATTATGACAACAGTACTCTTTGAAAACTTATAGGAAAAGTATGCCCCCAATATCTTTCAGTGCACAACTTTGGTTAAATCAGCTGTGGTCACTCGGGTGCTGCAGAGTGTGGGATTTTAAAGAGTGCAGTTGTGAACTTTTTAGGTAAGTGTGAAACACAGCACTTCTGGTTTGGTGGGGTTTTCTCTTGGTATAGCAGGCTGCAGATGCAGGGGTACCAGGGCTGTGCCACGCATGTGGGAGGTGGGAGTCAAATAAGCATTGTGCTTGCTGCAGAGACCAGCCGGGTTTGGTAAGCAGGGATGCAAGAAAAGTTCAGGGGAATTAGTGAGCTCTTAGTTGTGTTGAGATCAGTTTGCATTCTGTTCCAAGAAATTTCTTCTTGCATCTTAAACTGAATTACAGTTTTCTTTAGATGTATGTTTTTGAGAGTTGGTGGTGAAATCTCTTAGATATTATTGTTAGTCCAAATAAATGGGTTGTGTCTGTACCGACCAGAAAGTGAAGTTAGAAATCAAGTGTGGGGGGAAAAAAGATTACAGGAAATGCAAAAATGTATTTGATAAGGTTTCCTAAAATGTTAGAAGTAAAAGGGGGAGGTATCCCAATGCATCTCATTTGTACCTGTGAAATAAAGGTAGTTGAATGTAAGACTTCAATAAAATACACAAAAGAGGGAGAAAGCAGGGGGTCTCCCAGAGAAGGTAGCATGTCAGAGAAAGGGTTTAGGAATAAACTTCCCTTCCTAGGAGCTATGCAATTGAATCAGGTTACTTCCTTTCTTGTATTTATAACTTCTAAGTTTTATGCATGAGAAAATTTAATAAATAAAATGAAATTTTAAGTGAACAGGAGCACATATCTATAGCAAACTGTGTTTCCAGAGAAAATATCCAACAGACACAGAAGCAAAAAACTTAATGGTCCTGAGTTTGCTTACCAGAGGTTTGGGGGTAGTTGTGCAATGGGTGCAGTTTTTATCACCAACCAGTACACACTGCCATGGAGGTTTGTCTTTCTCTGTTCTTTCCGTGCTCTTAATGCTTGTTTCTGCAGACAGGACCACATCTAGTTTGACAGTACCCTTCAATTAGAGTTTCAGTAGCTGTTTTCAAGTTTGCAGTACATGATACCATGCTTGGAGCTTCCCTACAAAAGCGGTGTGTAATGTGAGGCAGTCTGTAGCTGATGGTGGAAGAGCATTAGCAGTTAGATGCTGGAGGGTGGTGATGCCAATGCAGGCTGTGAACCTCCTGTGCTTGTTTTCATCGTTGGACTGGCACCTGGATTCTTGATGTTTTTCTGCTCTTTTGTTTCGCAGGCTGTGGAGTTCTGGCCTTCTGTATTTTAGTACCTTACATAGGCAGGTTTGGAGGTTTGGATCATGCCACCTTTTGAAATGCCAGTGCTCTGTGTATTAGAAGCACTGGTGCTTCAGTCTTGGCAGAGCTGAACCTCCCAATCACAGTAGGATACATTTGCATTGTCTGTAGGGCAGATGAGAGTTTTTAGTAATGAATTGCATGGCTTAAAGAGAAATTTCAAGGTAAACCTCTAGTGCAGCTTAATTATATTTTTGAGTAAAATTTGTTTTACAGGGTGGTTTAAATTACCTTTGCCAATTTGGACTTCAAGAATGGTTTTATGCTTGCATAAGTAACAATAATTTTTTTTTCTTTCAACAGAGGTTGCAGAACTTGAAGCTAATTTACCTTGTAAGTATAGCATTTAGAGGCATGCATTTTAAGGGGAGAAGGGCCGTTGAACTGAATGTTTTGGCAGAAGTATGAATGCTAATGATACGTGTTATTTCTAGGGAAAGCTGTGCAGAGCTCTACCACTCAGGCTTGAACAGGTTCTCTTTGATACCTCTTAAAGGCATGTAGAGAGGTAGACCCTTACTAGTGTCCTCTGGAAGCAGTGTGGATCATTTGGCTCTAGAAGTTGATTGCTGGTGGAGAGGGAGCTCCTCTCTCATAAAACACCCTAAAGGTACCTGGAACTAAAGAGTGCATTTGTTGCCTCACTCCTGTTTTTCCTTTATTCTCTCATTTTCAAAACAGGAGAGTGATTTAGGGGCAGAGCAAACAGGACAGTTCTGGGGAACATATTGAGTCAACCTAGTGCTTTTTTACTTCACACGCAAGCTGTAACCTGATGTGTTCATTAATAGGGAAAATAGTTATGAAAATAGTTTTTTTTAAAAACTGATCCATATTCCTTAAAAAAAAAAAAGGGCGAGATAATATGGTTTTAGCCCTGGAATCTTAATTCTAATATATATTATGATAAAAGTTGAAAATATTAATGGCCACTTTAAAATAGGCTTTTAAGAGCACAGGATAAATGGCTCATTGCTTTTAAAGCTGAGGATAGATAGTTAAAAATCAAATATGTGTTCTGTTCCTTAGCTTTAGAAACCCCAGTTCTGTAATGGACAGCAAAACACAAAGCCCTTTTATAAATGGGAGTAAAGTTTCTAACGCTCTGTATTTGTTGCTAAGGGTAGGTGTTAGCAGTGAAGCCAAGTTGTTGCTGAACTCTCTTCCCCTTCAAGCATTGACCAGAACAGCATCATTCTGCCATGATTTCTTGGAATACAGGCAACCACAACAAGTTATTGCCTAGTAAGCTCAGAGGTATGTTCAGAGCCCATTGGTTGCTCTGCAGAGTTTCCTGTGGTGCGTGTTCCTGTTTCAGAGTAATGGAAGATGTTTTCCCTGCAGAGGAGTCATGAGCTGCTCGCAGCAGACTGAGAGTGTACATGCAGGCTGTTACTGTGCTGTGCATTCACACTTTCTTGTCCATATTCTTATCTTGCAAAGAAAAGCAATGAATATTCTCTCTGATTATGCTGGCAGGTAGCTCATGGTGTTTCTAGTCTTTCGCCATCTGAGGGAAACTTTGACCATATTTTTTCTCTCCAGGTTAAACTTTGAGTGCTACTTCTGAGGAGCACCTTCTATTTGCCAATGATTCTAAACCCAGATCAATACTCAAATCTTAATAATCCTTATTTTTGATGTACGGACTGCTTGATGGGAGGAATTACAAGTGGGAAAAAAATACAGAAGCAGCAAAAAGGGAGGGTAGGAAGAAGCATTACTTAACTCTTCCTTTCAGTATGCTCTTATTTCTTAAAGGCAATTATAGTGATTTTACAGAGAGTAATTGTAATTTTTGTTAAACTTTTTTTTTTTTTGTTTAACTCTTCCATAGGGTAACAAACACCTGAGAAACATATATTGGGGTTTGTAGTTACTACAGTGTGAATGCATTACTAGGGTTTGTGTACTGTTCTAGTTACTTTTTCAGGCAAATAGGGTCTGTATCACTGATGCTATTTAACTTCTTGACTACAGAAAAAGAACAGCCAAGCTGATACTTAAGAAGTTAAAGGCTGCATAATATAGATAATAATGTATCCATGGATATACACATCTTCTAGTGCCAGCTTGACAGCTTGTCTCTGCCACAGTCAAGAAAGGCCAGTTTTGTGCCTGGGAGGCAGCTTGGTTTGTGTCATCAGATGTGAACAAAGGGCTGTTATGCTGTGAACTTGCATCTGTTGAACTGAAACCACTGACTAGTTTAATCAGATTGTTTTATCTCTTTTTTTCCACACTTGTTTTTCATTCTCACTATCCACCTTAAGTTCATCTAGTCTGAGAATAAAAACATAGTGTTTGGTTTGTAATGATGCTCCATAACCTTTGCTGTTAATGTGTGTAATTGCTTATGCAGAAGAAACTTGTTCAGCCTGACAGCTGAACAGAGACTTCACCAGCTTTTGGATGAGGCTTTCAGTAAAGCTTGTATCTAATTCATTGCAGGTATAAATAATCCTTTGTTTAGCACAGGGCTGTGGGGCGGGTGACTTCTTGCAGACTGCAGTGTATGATTAAATGTTGATACATGTGTTACCATTAAAGAACTTGTAAGGAAAAGATGCTCATTCTATATGCTGTCATCTTGGCATCTAGCTACTATTTTATGCAGAAGACCAAATCCTTTGGCATTTTAAGGTCTTTGAGACATCATGGTTTACTGTAAGGAAATAAGCTTCTTCCTCACAGCTCAAAGAAGTGAAGTTACATTACTGCAGGGGACCTGTGACTGTATAGGAAGGAGGTGCTTAGAGACAAAGTGTAGGAGGAAATTACTCGACTGGAAGGTAGGGATAAGTCAGGGAGTGAATTCGGAGAGTATGAAAGATGATATAATTGCTTTCCCAACAATGGAAAACCAGTTGTCTGATGTAAATTATTCTTTTTGCTTCACAGGTACGTGTAAAGTGAACTTTCCTGACCCAAACAAACTTCATTACTTTCAGCTAGCTGTAATCCCAGGTAACTTTTTTAAACATGTTACTTTTGTTTCTCTGTGTGTTTGGTGTTTAGGAAACATAACTCCAAATTTGCTCAAGAATTCAGTAAACTTTCTAGTTAAAGAAAGACTGGCTGTAATACAATGGTTGTTTTATAGAGGCAATGGAGAAACTGGGCTGGATTTTGAGAACTAGATTCCAATAAAAAGAAAGTAAAAATTGAGCAGGTTTAGGAAATATTCAGGTTTTCTTTGCTCATTTCGAAACATTTTTTTTTTTTTCTCTCAGCCAATTTCAAATCACCTTGTTTTATTTGCTGAGAAAAAACTTGGACTATGTCTAGAGAAATTATTGTATTACACCCCCATTATGTTGCAGGCTTATTCTTTTCTACTGCTTGCTTGATTCTGCAGAGGTGAGGAGATAGATGACAGAACACTTCTGGAAAACATCAAATCTATGCATATCTGAAGATGCTTAATAAGTAGGAATCTTAGTCTTTGAATATTCAAGTATGTGAAAATTAGATTATTTTTTTTTATTACTAATACAGCTTAAGTATACTGTGAAGCATCTGCTGGCATGTTGTTCAATAAAATCATTTCTTCAGAATTTATCATTTCCACGCAAGTTTCTTAATAGCCATCTAAAACTACAGAGTCTTACCTACCTAGCTGTCCATTTCAGAATAGAAAGTTGTGTTTGTTTTATGGATGAATTTGCGTGGAAGATTATTTAAACTTCACATGCACATCTTTTTTGCTGTGTGTTACCTTTGAGACTGAGAGTCTCAGTGAAAACATTGACATGTGCAGTACACGGTTTGAGCTAGATGTGCTGGGGAGCAGTATCTCCCTGCCAACTAATTCTTGTAGATGCACATTTTCTATAGATGCTTATTGACAACAGAATTTGGATGCAGTATGACAGTCATCCTGATGTCTTACCTATAGAAATAATGGTTTACCCTTAACAGGGTAGGAATGTTTCTGATAATTCAGTATCTTGAAGTCAAAGGGGCGCTAGGTGTCACTGTTGGTGCTTATTTGCCAGAATCAACTAGCACTTGCTCGGCAGTAGAAATCTTGGGTGGTCTTTGTTAACAAGTCCATTCATGTGACTCCTTTTTGTGATGGAAAAATGAGTAAGACTGCCCTAGTCAGTGTAATCAAAAATAAATGCAAGTACTATTATAGAACTTTTTAACCTCTCATTCTGTGTGGGAGATGTGCTCGTGTTTACTTGAAGAGTGTTGGTCTGCTTTGCACCAAATGTCCTTCAGTTTATATGATACTGCTTTATTATATTTTAGAAATGAGTTGACTTTACAAGATCATCACTGTGCAGCGTAGGGGTGTCTCAAATGTGAAGCAATGATAGCTTCTTCATACTAATCGTAAGGTGTGTAAATACATAATCATTTTTTTGTCTGTTAACTGCTGTGCAGCAAGATGTTACAGTCAGAAGAGTCATTGAGTGCAGAGGGTGGTTTTTGTACTAGCTTCATTGCTGAAATTATCTTGGGAATGAGATGATCTTAATTAACATTTTGTTACTCTAAATATAGCTGCACAGCTGAAGTCTCTGCAGTTGCAGTCTGACCGAAGTAAACATCTATTTTCAGCTGTGCATAATTCAGGTACAGACTCTTGTGATCAGCTACAGCTCAGCACAGTTCTCTAAAGGCAGAATGCAACACATACCAAGAAAATCTTTGTATCTTTCTGATTCCCCTCATTATTGAGGTTTTTATTTAGCGTATGCTAAATCTTGGTTTTCTTTGGGATAACAGAGAGGCAGCTAAGTGGTTGTCACAGAATTTTTCTGGCTCAAATGGGCCAAAATCTTTGCTTGAGGCAACCATTTTTATAGTGTCTAAACAATGTTGCATGAATCTTGACAGTCCAGAGGAAGAACCGGTATTCTTCCTCCTATCTGGAACTGTCTCTTGCACTGAGGAGCTGAGTGAGTTCTAGAAATCCTGCTCATACATCTGGCTCTTTGGGGAATGCTTTGCAAATACAGAATCACAGAATGGTTTGGATTGGAAGGGATCTTAAAGACCACCTAGTCCCAACCCCCCTACCAGGGGCCTGGACACCTTCCACTAGACCTGGTTGCTCAAAGCCCCGTCCAATCTGGCCTCGAATATCTCTGCAGCTCTCCAATTGTGGAACAAGGGCTGGGCTCAGCACAGCTGCAGGTGCCAGGGAATATCTAATGCTGTCTTGTAGTTCTCACTGTTAGGACCTGTGTTGTAAGTGTGCATAAGCCCGAGTTGGTAGTCTTCACAGCAAAGAATTTCTTCCTGGCTCAATACTTAAGGTTCTCAGTTTGCTTATCTGCAGTTACAGAGATTGCATCCTTCTATGACAGATCTGCTAAAGGGGTGCTAATTATTTTATATTAATATTTTAAGTTCTATTATATTCTGATTAACAGTAGAGCTTGAATTCTGTAACCCCATTTTATAAGGAATTTTACATCAAGACAGTTTCTAAAAGTAGCTGGCTGTCAGGGTGCCGTGAAGATACTGACTGAACATGTTTTTTTAACGCTAGAAATGCTTTTTGTGGTCAGCATTCCAGGCTTATATTATTGACAAAGCCTGTTCTGAGATGCTTTGTTTTATGCAGTCATTTCAAATGTGGCTGGTCTTGAAAGGACAGTGAAAGAAGCTTCTTTATGTTCTCACAAAAAGATTGATTTGAGTAAGAAAATAAACTTTACCATCAAACAAATACTTCCAGCTCCCTTGCTTTCCACTTCTTACGATAACCACTCTTAGTAAGTATTTAATGTCACAAAACTATCCTGGTGACAGTGAGGTTTAAATTAAAATGAATTTGTAGAAAATCTTGATGAGGGTGACTGCTTATTTCACGTAAGTTACTTGTCCTCAAGAAATGTTGATTCCTTTGTTACAGCTTTCTGCAGTGCACCATGGGTGGATATATAGTAGCACACAGTAGAAAATGTGTAAGATGGCAAGACTTAGATTTTGCTGCCACAGTGGACAAACTGTGTGTTCTTAAGGCAGATACTGCTGGCTTTCTCAGCTGTCTGAAGCTTCTTTTTCTTTTTGTCATCTGAAACAATCGTTCTGTTATTGAAAAATGCTCTTATGCCACTACTTGCCTCTGTTCTTATTTTTGTGCCAGTATCTTATTGGATGAGAAGCTAGGAAAAATAAGGAGATAGATGCTTATAGTGTGGGCTGTCCTGCCTGCTGCACTGATATTTGGAGCACAAAATTGGAAGCTGAGGCTAAAACATGGTAATGACCTGGAAAAAATAAGAGGGTGAGTGTAGGTAGCTTGCACATGAAGTAAACTAGAGGAATATGTAGAGTTGATGCAGTTTTTCTGCAGTTCCCAGACAAATTGGGGTATTTTGGGGTTAGTGTGATTATTTGAGTCCCGTTCTACAGGGAATTAATAAAGGGCATGTTTTCTTTTTGCACACCATAAAATGACAGATGTTGGTGAGCTTGGCTGAATGTTTCAATGCTGCTGATTCAAGGAGCTACTAACAAAAGCACATCCTTTGTGGCCTGTCCTAATTATCTTGCATTTTCTTTTAAAGTGATAAATCATTTAGTGTTTTCACAGCACTTGTAGCCATCAAAACACCTTACAAGTGCAAACTAAGATTAGAGTCAGGTTGTCGATAATGAAACTTGAGACTGAAGTGGGAGGTATGCTTGCTCTGTTAATACAGCTTGAAGACATAAATTTAAGTAGTAGGAGGAAAACTGGAGCTCAGACATACTCCCTTTTTGCACAAGTCTTGTCAGTGGCCAACTTCCTAAATTATGTGCTAAAGCTATTCTCTTTGACTGTTTTATTTATAGCACTTTCCTTGTTAATAACTTTGCCAGAACTTCAGTTTTTCTCCACCACTGTTATGTGCCTAAAAATTTGGGGGTCTTTGTCCCTCAGGGAAGGAAAGCATGTGGGAGAACCTATTTACTTGCTTGAGATGCCAGAAGATGACTTCATTGTGAAGACTTATCTTGTTAATGCGTTGCAAGATTTCTGGCTGAGGACGGAGGCTCTCCAGAGATATGAATTTTTAATATACATTTGAGTGATTGATAATGAGTAGCATGCTTTATTGTTGTTTAGTGAAATGATTTACAAATATACAAGGAGAATTGGAAAAAAAAAGGGGGGGGGAGGGGAGAGGTGCTTTACTCTTCTGATTTGGTAAATATGTCCTTGCTTATTTTATAACGGGACCAGTAGAGTACTCAGTGCACTTTTGGGTTAGTGCTGGCATGGACTGATGTCAAGGTAAACTCGAAACATAAAATGAGAAGTTGTAATGCAAGACAGTGATGAGTATTGGTTTGTATTTGAGGGAGACTCAATCATATAAGTGTATGGAAGTGACCTGTAGTGTGAGGTACAATGTCCTCAAAGTCTTCCAGAGATTTCTCAGCCTTATGTAGAACACAGAAAAACAAAAGAAAATTGAAGTATTACATGAGGAATCTCTTATGGACTGTGGAGGTTTTAATATGCAGTTTAGAAAATGCTTGATCTAATTTAAAACACTTTTGCAGAGAAAAAGGGGTGTTCTTTCACTGTCTGGTCCTGCTACTTCTCTTCTGCTGGCACTGGTGATGATTTAACCCTCTGCACACCAGTTCATTCCAGTCATCCTGGAGGAAATTACACTTTGTGGTGGTTTTCTATACCAACAATGGGCTTGTCCCCTTCAGCTCGTTTCACCTTGTCTGATTTCATTCTGCACATCAGCACTGGGAGTTTCTGCTGCGGCTGGGTGGAAGTGGAGCTAACCTGAGCTAGGTCTGCGTGGTGAGGAAGAGCAGAGAAAGCGAAAAATAACTGTTCAGGTTTCCCCCCCCCCCCCCCCCCCCCTTTGTGCATTTCTTAAGCAATGTCAGAGTGATCTTGCTGTCTGTGCTTGGAGTTGAGGGCCTGCCTTAATGTTCCTTCATGCTGCAGAGGTTGTGGGCCTGGTGTTTCCAGTATGCAGAGACGTGGAGTGTTTTTTCTCTTGCTGCTTGACTGGCAGGAATCTGACAGTCTTTTGGCACACTCTCCCCCCTTGGAGCTGTTCTTGAATATTTCTGTTGGACAATTCTATTACAGTGAGAATGCATTAAATCTGAGGATTTTCTTTGACATAAGGCACATGTAGATACATCCATTAACAGGCATCTATTTCACATTAGCAGGGGTGGAATGCAAAATGCTGTTGTGCACTTTGCTCCAATTCCACACAATCGAGGAACTATTGAAGTTAAGCCAAGGAGAATAACTTTGCGCTGCTGGACTTCCTGAGCAACCTTAGCAGTGTTGGTGTTTTTCCTTTACTTGGATGTACCAGCATCAGGCTTCTCCCTGCGCAAACACACGTGGGTGTTTCATGTCATTGCTTATATTGGGAAGTGATAGCTTGATAAGTGCTTGTGAGCAAGAGGGCAGTGAGGAGGCCGTGGAAGGCTTTAGGGTACATGGCTTACACTATAACAAACATTGAATTCCTGTATGGTGTTGCTTGTTTGTTTTGGTATGATCACGGAAAGACTTGAGATGATTTCGACTGTGGTTTTTACAAAGAACAACATCATGCTTGGAAATAGTGAGGATTCCTGACGCTTCATTAAAAAAATATTATAATGTGCTAGATGGTGGATAAAGTGCAGTTAACTGTGTACTATAGGGTAACTCAGTGGTGCTTGAGCTGTTTGAACTCCTGGGGGATATTGGACAATTTCCCTAATCATTCCTTCCTGGAACAGTCAGTATCTTGCTTCGAGTGTTTTATACACTTGACAGGGAGCAGTTTCATCAAAAGTATATTGGTATAACTCACCTTTTACACCTCATTTGTTAGAAATGGCTTTTTTTACAGATTTTTATCTCGGTATATTTGAAAACAAGATAAATGCTTTTATCTCTTTTTTTTTTCCATAAAAATTAGTGCATGTGCATTTATTTTCTGGTGAAGTGTGGCATGCCTGAGGAGACTACTTAATAAATCAAGCACACTTCAGAATTGAATTGGAGTAGAAACAGTGAATATATTTGGAAAGCGTGATGCTCTGGACAGGTTATTAAAGTGAGATTTGCACTGGCTAAGGCTTACAGCTTTGCACTGCACAGTTCAGCGTGGAGTAAACATTGTGTGGGGTGGGGAAAACCAGCCTTCTGTTCTGTTTTCATACTCTGTGCCTATGCTGCTGTTGCAGTCTAAAATTTCTGTTGTTCATGTGCTGAACCTGTCAGTGGTCTACACACAGGCTCCTGGGAGAAGCTGGACTGTGATGTACTTCCCAGCAACTCCTCTGCTGTTCGGTAGGCACAGGTCTTGTGGAGCGGGACGCTGGGTGTCGCGTGTAGTTGAGTCTCATCTCTGGCAGCATCAGCTTTTACTGGCTCACTTCCCTCTGCAGCCGAGGGTTTGTGTTGTTTTAACAGGCTTGATGCCATCTCCTTTTCAGTAAGTCAGCTGATGAGAGATTGCAAAGAGGAGGACTTGTGACTCTCCTGGGGTTATGGGAGTTGTGGTGTGGAAGCTACAAACTTGTGCTGGCAGTGGTGAGATGTAGCATGGAGTGAAACCTGAGCAGGTGGATGTAGTGCATTGGTTGGCATGAGAAAACAGAAGGTCATGCTAGATCTGTGTAGGGACTGGGAAGGCAGCAGGTCCGGAAGACAGCACCCTGAAAGAGGATATTGATGACCTATAGTAAAAGAGTTAGTTTTCTGTTGTTTGGAACAAGCTAGATAGTAAGGGAAACTCTTAATCTTTCTGTAAACTATGGATTACTTCACAAACCTTTCCTGTGCAATGTTGGTTTAAATATATAAAAAACTTTTGTCATACAATGATAAGCAGCCTTCCTGATCTTCAAGCCTTCACTGCGGCTGTACTGTGTGAGAGCTAGACTACTCAAGGTGGTTTGAGCCTGAGTGTTCCTCAGGTGTCCCAAGGCCCCAGTGTGGGCTAGGTACCTGTCTGTTTGCCATTGAGTTTTTTTCAGTAAGGGAATGCCAGACAGACTAATTTCAGATCACTTGCAAGCATTTCAGCTTCCAAGCACAACCATCTCAAGAGTTGCAGGCTGACTATTACTCTATTATTACCACTGGTTAAATGTAACTAAATATTTTTAATTTTCATATTTTGAACTTTAGCCATTTTAATAATTCAGTATAACAACTGAGGTTGATAGACGCAGATTTTGCTAAATGATACATCATGCTAAAACAATTACAATAAAAGAGCTAACTTGCTCTTTTATTGTAGTACACTCTGAAGTATGCTCTTGCACACCATTATTCATATTACTCACGATATGCGATTGCTAGCCCGTCTGGGAAGATGTACTAACTCCCACTCTGGGATTTAGCATCCATTAGCAAGTGAAGTATGTATCCAACCCATTCCAGGTTGCTGTTGTGGTACTGCATGCCATATGGTCGATGTGTGGCATAATTTTGTTCATACACACTTGAGGAGTTCAAAGGTTCCTCTAGCTTGGCATTGCCTGGTACTCCGATCAGGAAGGTGGATTTTCCAAGGTCACTCTGGGACTGTTGACTCTGTGACTTAAAATTACTGCCATAAAGGTTTTGGGTGTGGAGGAAGACACTATGTCCACACGCTTTGGACTAGGTGGCATCTAGTGTTACAGTATTACTAGGTTAAGTATTTGATGATAGCCCTGTGCTGTTACTTTAATGTTTGTAATGACAGATATTTTGTGTTACATAGTGTCTGCTATTTTCACTTATTTATTTTTTTCCTTGTTTTTTCTTTTCTAGATGAGGGCTATTACCAAGGTGGAAAGTTTCAGTTTGAAATTGAAGTTCCGGATGCCTACAATATGGTGGTGAGTATTTGCCATTAATCTAATGGTCGTCATTTTAGATTTCCAGGTAATAGGACTTCAGAGGAATGATATTTTGTCTGTTACTAAAATACTGTGGGTTCATAGAAAAATCTTGGTTGCCAGGGGTTTTTGGAGGTCATCTGAGCTGCTCAAAGTGTAGCGTTAGAAGTTGGATTTGGTTGCTCAGGGCTTGGTCCAGTTGGTATTTCAAAATCTCTTAGGATGGAGATTCCACTGCCTCTCTGGCCTTCTGTTCCAATGTTTAATTACCTTTGCTGTGAATTTTTTTCCTGTATCAGGTCAGAATTTCCCTTTTTGGAGCTTGTCTGTGGCCTCTTGCTTTATTGCTGTGTACCTTTAAGAGAAGAGCCTGACTCTGTCCTTTAAATCCTCCCATTAGATAGTTGTAGACAGCAATAGCATCCCCACCTTCAGCCTTCTCCAGGCTTAACAAATCCAGGTCTCTCAACTCTCCTCGTACTGCTCATGCTCCAGTCTCATCACCATCTCGGTGGCTGTCTACTGGCCTCACTCCAGTTTGCCAATATATCTGGTACTGGGGAGTTCAAAATGGGACACAATCATTCTGGATGTCATGTCACGAGTCTCAGGTAGTGGGAATAATAATTTCTGTGGCTATACTTTTGCAGTCCAGTGTTTGCAACCAAACAGCCTTGAGGCTCTGATTGTTTCAATGTTATTAGGTCTTAAAGAAAAAAATAAGTATTTCCAACTGTCTGGCAGAAGATGCTTGTAAGCTCAGATGAGTCAGACCAGAGTGTCTCTCTTCTGGCTGAGGTTCCACTCTCATCTGTTCTTTCTTGTTACTTTTTCTTGAGACCTGCACTTAATGATTATTCTCATAAAAAATGATATATCTAAGAGAAGGAATGAAACGGGTGAACAGAAAGGAAAAGTTTTTATTCTTTTTATTTTCTGTAACCTTGAAACTGGTGCTTATAGTTCTGATACTGGACATAGGTGCTTAATCCCTTTTGAGAGCATGTAATGGAAATCACAGATATGGTGACAGGTGGCCTCCTTTAGGACACTTCATCAGTTCTACTGGTTGTATCCTAGGCTGTTAAATACCTTAAAAAAAAACAAAACAAAACAAAACAATTTCAATGGTTATTAAACAAACAGCTTTTCAGAGGACCTACAAATTATGGTGATATTTTATTGTAGATAAATAGAAAGCTCCAGACAGCTTGGCCTTTTCAAGCATGAGAAATGTTAGTGTTTCATTATTGTATTTTACCTTGCAAGGAGGGAGGTGCAATTACAGTAAAAATAACTTCAGACATTGTTTTCATAGTTTAGCTGTCAAAAGAACAAGATTGACTCCAAAAATAGAAAACAATTGGGCACACGTGGTTCTCAAGAATTACACCTGCCATTCTGTGTCCTGTTAGTTTGATATGTAAGGAAACTAGACTCATTTGAGTTACAATATTTGCATTTAGGTATATGAATTGCAGAAAGAGGGAAGCCTCATTTTCTTCCAATTTTGAACAGTTTTAATAACTTTCCTTGCTTTTCTAACTTTTCCAAGCTTTCTGCTTTCTGTTTTCTTACTTTTGTCGGTAGTTCAGAGCTCTTCTCTGAGGCTGAGGAAATGTGTAGGGGAGGATACTGGAGAAATGTTTTTGGGAAGACCTTTGACTTCTGTATTCAGATGCACCAAGCCTAAATTCAGCATTGTATGCATGTAGTAGTTGCAGTCACAGCATTGTTTATATACAGATATGAAGGAAGTACAGTGGTCTGGGATGTAATAGCTTGAATTCCCAGACTGAGCTTGGAGCAAGGTGCATTAACAATGCTAGTAGAGTAGAAAGGTTATGTTTCTGAAATGGGAGGAGTTGTGTCTGCATTCCAGAAGATGCCTTCACAAGTTCCCTAATATTCCTTTATTTATAGTCTATGAATACATGGGACATGCACTATAGCCTATAAAAAAGTTCATGCTTGTGTGGAGGACTATAGCACTTCTAAAAGAGCTTTGAATTTTCCTCCCCTTTTTTTTTGAAAGTTGTGCTTTCCTTTCATAGTAATATTCAAGGATTATCTGCTCAAGCTATGTTTGGTTTAAGTGTTTAGGATCCTAGCTGTCTTTATTGATATACTGTCTGAAACACCTACGTGTGCTAATAGTGTTTGCAGTTGCATAGTTTTAGTTGTGGCTTTTTTTTTTTAAATTTTCCCTAACCCCACCGAAGAATTTCATACTGTGACACAGACCACTTTTACTAGCTTGTATAAGGTTATGCACGCATTATAAAGACAAAGGTGGTCATTTAAGGTAGACTACATCCTTGTTCTAATTTGAATAAACCCTGCGATTGCATACCTGAGAAACATGGCCTTCAGCATAAAGGGGAAAGCCCTGTCATGTTCTCTGTCTAATTTTCAGTCTTCTTCAGTAATAGCACTTTAACCACTATGGCAATACTGGACACAGGGCAACACACACAATATATACTCATTTTAGTTTCTTAAACATTTGTGTTAAAGATATTCACCTAAGCAACACTGCTGCAGGAAAATATTTGCTATGTGTTAACAGGAGAGCTGAATGTTAATTTTGATCTGGGTTTTTTTGCTTCTCAATTGCTATAATTAAAAAACTCTTCTGGTTTGTTATGGTTCCCTGCTCAGCACTGGCAGAAAATCTACAGCAAATGTTAATTAGATATTTTAAAATTCTGACCACCTCTTGTTCAATACAAAAGTAAAAAGTTTGCCTTTGTGCAATTTAGAGGGGAAAAACCAACCAAACAAAACAAAACGCAGTGGGTTAAATATTGGATTATGGTCAAGTTATTAATGACAATGTATATATTCACAAATATTGAGATAATTGTGCTGAGGCCATAGTTTTTTTTTTCTGCCAAGCAGAATGAGACTGAAACAAACGATGGCAGTGTTTTTAATAGAGCTTTTCAGACCTCCCAGTGCTCTTTCAGCCCATAAGCAGGGCCGGGCTATCGCATGTCTGCATCAAGCTCCTAGGAGGAGTGCTAAACATGTTTGTGTTGGGAGTAAAAATACCATACAACTGGCAAGTTGTTGTAGCCCTGCCCCATAGCCTGAATCTATTTTCTAGCTAATCTTTACAGCCTGCAGAAAAAAAAGAATATCTGTTCTTAAAGCTACAAAATGCATACTTTATAGTATAGCTTCTGTAACAGCATCCTTTAATTTCTGTAGCATGCTGTTGCCAAAATCCTTTGTGTTTGGTGTTCCTCTGGGGAATTTTTTAGCCTTTCATTCCTCATACACAAACATTCAGCTTCTGTGCTGGGAAAAGAAGCGGATGTACAGAGTGGTGGCATAGTGTAAGAGTATATAATTGAAAAAGGAAAAACTTGGAAGACTTTGTGTTGTGGACTGTGGCCATGGCATAGTACTCTGCCCAGGGAGTAAAGCTTTGGAGGCTGATTTGGAAAGTAGTGGTTGTGAATACAGGGAAGTAATGTGTCCTCGTGCTTTAGGTGTGACTGACTAGGATGCACGCTGATGTTTGGGACCTGGGATAGAAACTTCCTTAGTGCAAAGATTCAAGAGCCTAAAATGTGGGAGGGGTGCTTTGCAGCATAGATGCTTTGCAGCATGCACTGTTGTGAAGTGCTGCCTCTTGCTTGCAAACAGATCACACAGCAGATCGGGGCTTAATCAGACCTCTGTACAATTTTGCTGCTGTACTAAGTATTGGAAAGGTTTATTATGATTATCTGTAAGGCAATAAAATATTACAAGGGTTCTTCCTTTGAATCCATAATTAACTGAACATATTTAAGCCGTTGAAGATGTGGATAATTTCAGAAGCATCTGAGCTTTTGAACTGGAAAGGGTTCCTATTTTTAATCATCTGTTGGAGGCATGAGGGGATGGTTCAGATAGATTTGTGCTACAGCACTAGTAGTAATTTGTGTCCCCCCACTCCTGCAGGCCCATGGGCTGCATTTCGCTCCCTGCTCTACAGAAAGGCTGAAGAGAGGTGAGAGCTCACCACAGGCTTTTCCTAAAGCAGTGTGCTTCCCAAAGAGGGGAAGTCTTCCAAGTGCTGATGTTGTGCATTGTCATGTTGGCTAGTCCAATGATTATGTTTTCATTATTGCTGATTTAGTGCTGTAATTGGGCAAGTATTGGTGGTGTTTGGTGCTGAAACAAGCAATAATAAAGTGAAATGGATCTGATGGCATCTGTGGTCTGTAAGTGATTTTTCTCCTACACAGCTGCCCTTTGAAGGAAACATCCAGGAAGTTGCATGCCTCAGTAGTCTTTTTGGGTTGGTTCAGTTAACACACTAATCAGCACTTGAGTTGGCTTAATGTTTTAATATTTACTCTCTGTAGCGTTCTCAGTTAAATTTCTGTCTGTCCGATTAAGGCAGACCTGGGATCTTTACCTTTTTTCTTTTTCAGTGCGTGCTTACCCTTTAAACTTCTGTATTGTAAATGGGGCCATCCTTTTCCTGTGGCCTCTGAGCAAGCAGTCAGGTGATGCTTCCTGTAGCCCTGAGGAAGGAAGGAGAGTTGGTCATGCTCTCAGACACAAGCATATAAACACAGCCCTGAATGGAAAGGCCTCTGCTTTCCAGGGACAGTTGGATTAAAAAACATCCTGAAAGGAAGACTTCATCCCATACATGTCCCAAAAATGTCTTCCAAAAGGAATTTGTGCACCTTCTGTAAGCGTCTGATTCAGACTGGATGCTTTTTGGAACCTTGGGAAAACCTGGCATTGCATCTACAGGATCCTCTGCTCAGATCAAATATCTTTCACACCCAAGACTTCCTTAATGATTTTTTTTTTTATAGCACTGTTTTAGGGACATGCCATAGGTGGAACCAGTAGTCTTGAGCTTTTGATGTTTTCTGGACTCAGTGTAGTTCTTTCCATAAGTACTGGCCTTGTTCTGAGTACAAAAAAAAAAAAAAAATTAAATAAAATTCATAATGAGATGCCTCTTTCCTTTTAAAGTTGGAGCTAATCTGTGTGGAAAGATACTACGGTGAGAAAAGTAATGGTATTAATATTTAAGTTCTAAGTTATTTTAGGGCATTAAAAGTCTTTGTAATATCAATGCTTAATTTTATCTGTTCTGAATTGTTTTAAAAGATTTAAATTTTTAAAGTAATTCTTCTCTAAAGATAACTGCTGAAGTACTAAAAGTCAGTCTCTACTAGTACAAGGGCTTCTTTCTGTCCCAGGCAGGAAGTGTGGTACGTACCTGTTCCATGGCTCAAAACACTTCATATGTTGTGATATTTTGGAAGAATTTGGCTGATCCCTTCTTGCAGATCCATTTGTGTATGAGACTGCCCTTAATATGTTGCACGCTTTCCCAATGTACTGTTCTTTAGATCCTTAGCAGGTGCGCAGAGTGAAGGGAAAGACTTCTTTAACAATATATTATTTACCAGATAACCTGTGGACCCTTTTTCTTTGGTGATGGGATATTGCGTCAGAACAGAAATCAATTGGTACTGATACAGATGTTACAGAGGGATCATGAGAAAAAAACTGGAGCAGGGTTAATTAAGTCTGTAGTGTCTCCTCAAACTACCATGCCATTAGAAATATTAAAATCTGTTGGTAATCAGTTGCTTGGCATTTTAAAATATTATTCTTGTTAGGAGATAGGTTGCACATTCTTGAGTTTTTGTGTAAAGCAAGCAGAAGTTTGTTAGTGTTTGTGCTTACAAAGCCTGTCAGGAATGTTGCTGTCCATAAAGTCATCAGAGGAAGCTGTGAAACAGCAAGCGAAACATTAATGGTGTATGCAGCAAATGCCTTTAGCACTAAGTGCTGCTTTCTGACCTCTGTCTCTGCAGCGTCTGTTCCCCAAGCACCGCTTTTCTGGTTGACCAGCTGCCCAGAAATAGAGGTCAGTGGGAGATGGGAGCAAATGTTTAAAAGAAAAAAACATAAAAAAAATAATCCAGTGACAGAGGGATTAATTGATTTTGAAATACTAATAGACAAGCTCCCTTCTTTTCTGCCTTGAGGTGCAGCTGATGAAATAATGGGAGCTACAAGACAAGGGACCTGGTGCTTTAAGGAGTGTAACCTGATTAATAGTAGAGATCTGGTTTAATCTTGACATAAAACTAAACTGCCTGCCACCGGAAGCTGAGCCACATTTGCAACTCCAGTGATTCTGACATATCACGATTCCACATTTCTGCTAGTAACTGTATCCCTTCTCTGGGGAAAAGGTTGTGAAGTGAAAGACTACAGCTACAGGACAGATAAAATATGTATTAGTACACCTGTCACATTAGAGTGGTTGGCTTGCCAAATTGATCAAGATCTGAAACTGTTAAGTTCATTTATCGATTAGCATTTTATATCCAATTTCTCATTTGGTGAGAATAATGGAGGGGAGAGAATATTTGCTGCTTTTAAAGAATTGAGGCAAACCTGAACTTGTTCTGCAGAACTTCTGCCAAAACTGAAGTCAGTATGTGTGTAGTTCTCAAATGCTTGCTACGCTCTTTTGTACCATCTATATGTACTCACTGATATGTTGAAGTGGACTGAGAATGGATGTGAAAGTCAGTTTCTGTTACCAAATCTGAGAGAACCTAAAGGATAAGTGACTGCTTAGAAATGCAGAAGAAAATGAATCCATTCACTGTTGTGACCCCCAGTTGAGGTTGGCTCTAGCTGTGCAGCTTTCAGTATCTGAGGTAAAGGAAGAGTTTGAGCAATAAAATAAATGGATTTTATGAGCTTTGTGCAAAGTGTCACAGGTGTGACCTGGAGGTAGTTAGAGGTATTCAAGTGAAACATCATCTCAAGGAAATCTTGTATGGATTGGTTGGTCTAAGAAAGATTCAAAAGTGACTTGGAACAAGCTTGAAGGAGAAGTTTTGCCTGAAGATAAATTTTACGATAGTGCTACAGTTGTCCTATCTGACAAGAAGAGGGAGAGAGAAAGAGGAAAGCTTGTCTTACTGCCAGGAGTGGGGGTTTTTCTAATTTTTAGTAACGAAAAACACTTTGAAAGGATAAAGGAATTCTTTTGTTTCCATGTTATGGAAAATATGAGACACCAGTTAATTCGCTCTGACTGTGAAGATTTGGGGATATTTTTTTAAAGTTTGTATAAAGCTTGCTTTTTTTTGTCCTACTCATCAATACATTCCCTGTTTTGAAGGTGCATATGGTAGAAAATTACTCTTTTATCTTGATCTACTGGCATGGAATAAATACTGCTGCTTTCCCTTTATTGAGAACTAGACATAATCTTTCAAAACAACGTGAAGGTGTAGCTAATGGAAAGCTGTGCTGTTAGAGAACTTTGAAGAACAGGATTTGTTCTGAAAGTAAAAAGTTTGAGATGGCTTTCTACGTGCCACTTAATTTTCAATGATGCCATGATGTAGCACTGGGGCAGTCGGTGTTCTTGAGTTATTGGACAAACATGAAATAAGAATGGAGAAAAGTCAACATCTGCAGTATGAATTGCAGATTTATTGTGGTGATAGGTGTTTCTTATTTTGGTGCCAGATATGTTATTGGTAGCTCAGTACATTGCATACGTTCTTATCTCTTTTCCAAGAAGTCTTAGTTAAAAAAAATATTTTGCTAAAAGGATAATTGGGAAGTTGAGAACATAGTAATGAGACAAAACACATCATGCTGCTATGCAAATACAGCTGTTTGAGCTATTTTGTCTCTTGACTGAAGACTTCATGGGAAGCAGCAGAGGAAAATAGCTCCACATCTATAATATGTTATTTAATTGAAGTTATGAAAGGTACTGGTCTGTGCTGATGTATTCCAGTACACTTACTATAAGAACTAATCTGCTCGATTGAAAGATGCAAATTGCAATTTGGAGAGCATGGATAGAACAACGTGCTGTTGCTAAGCTACCAGAATTTTTATGACCCTCTCTTTATTTACTTCACAAAACTAGAGCAAATGAGACTGTATTTTAAGAATCTGTGTTTCAAAACCCACTATGGAATTCATAAATCTGGTGATGTTGCCTGAAAATGTTTGGTGGCTTTTTATGTTAGTGTCTTGAGTTTGCATATGATGTGCCTTCTTGATGCTTCTTACAATAATTCCTATTCAATTGTGAACAGGAAGATCTGCCTTTTAAAAGACACTGTCCTTTTGGTGTAGTTACTGCATCCTCTGTTTTTTAACAAATGCTTGACTTGGATAAGCCTTGGGGGAAAACACTTAGTAGTTTTCCATTTTAAATTGTTGTCTTACTGGTTAAGTGTTAAGAAACTGAATGACATGGAATGATTTTCTTTCTCCTGAAACAGACAGGAGAAGAGAGTGAATTTTCTTGACTTTAAATTGCATTTTTCCAAGGAAGAGCCTAATACCAGCCCAGCTCTTGTGAGGGGTTGGGAGAAACTAAAAGGGCAGAGAAAGTTGGTGTAACTCCTGTAGGTTATATTGTCAGGGTCTTTAACATACAAAGGTAGGTTGTGAATATCAAATATATTTGCCTTTTTCAGTTCTGTGGCTTATAACAGTGATACGGTTTTATTTTAAAGGATAACATCTTAACTTGTTTTCTCTCCTAACAGCCTCCAAAGGTAAAATGCTTGACAAGAATCTGGCATCCAAACATTACAGAGACGGGAGAAATCTGCCTAAGGTAGCAACAGCATTCTGTTTTTTTAACCTTGGAGGTTCATCTGTGTGATAAAACATTATATGTAATTTTCACGCTAGTATATTTTTTCAACAGATTCTGCAAATCAGTGGCATGTGACCCTTAGGAACTTAGAAATCTACTGAAAGTATTGTTCTTGCTGTGCGTTAGAGACCATGTAGAGCCTGGCTTTTCAGGTTCAGACTTAATGTTTTATTCTACTCAGGGTAAAAATGTAAACTCCAACCTAAGCAGGACTTCGGGTTTTTTTCCTCCCTCCATAAATGAATAGTCCTCAGGCCCTGAGAGGACTTAAGGCTTTACTTGTTTAATGCCTGAATGTGTTAAGTGCTTGAAAACCATTTATATTTCAAAAAGGAAGGAAAAAGTGTTCCTTAAGCTTTGACAATAACTATTCTATATTTGCCATTTGTTTATTTTAACATTTAATATCTACTACAAGACATGTGCCAGTTATAACAAAACAGAGTTGGGGGAGTATAAGTCAAGATACAAAGCCTGAAAGCTTTACTTTACCAAGGTGAGAGACTTATGTTTCAAGTGGTTTTGCTTGATAGTAAATGTTTCCTCTTCAAAAATCTATTTCTGAAACTTTGTAATTTCAGTGTTTCATCATGAGTACCTGATGCTGAATATGGTCAGAAACCAAAAAGAAACAGAAGTGAGAAGCATGACTGTCATTTTTCAAGTTAATAAGACATAAAAGAAAAAGTAGATGAAACAGAAGCAATGAATATAAGTGAGATTGAAAGCTGTTCTGAAAATCCAAAACAGTTACCACCTTGTGTATCACGTTAATGCTTAAAAAAAAGAGTTAAATTTTCCCTCTAGATTTAAAAGTCATTTTTGTGCGGTGTTCAGGGTCCTGGTGAAAATTAAGTTTTCACAAAGCAAACTGTCACAATTCATAGACAGGTCAGGCTCATCAGCTGATAAGAGCTGCTATCAGTGCTTTTTAGCCATAGTGGTCTGCTCCTTGCTTCTGAGAAGCTCATATCATGAAAGGGTGATGGAAACCAGCCTGAGGCAGCTGTGGTAACTTCCTGGTGCTCGATAGTGCCAGACTGCAGCAGGATTACAGGCAGTGAGGGCTGGTGTCTGTAGACTTTATCTCACTTAGGGTTTGGAGGATTTAAAAGCAGTGGAAAACCATACTAAATCCTCTGAGACTACCTAAAAATCTGGTTGCCCACAGTTATTTGGAGCTGCATGCTGATGATACAGAAAAATTGTTTTGGCAAATACATACTGCTACTTCTAGTGAAGTTGCCAGACCTGTGGTGTTTCTCAGTGTTTCCTAGGACTGTCCCATTTTGTACAGGTGAACTTCTCACTTGACAGTAGGGAGACTAATTTGAGGATGATGTTTTTACAGTTTAAATTCCACCAGAGTCCATGTGGCTTAGTGGAGAAAGCTTAGATGATTTGAGTTAAATAATGCAAGTAAAGGAGTAAGTGTGCTGTTTGGAACCAGCAAACAAGAAATACTAGACGCCAAATGATAGTGAAAAGTTTAACTTCTGACTACAGTGCAGCATCTTCTGAGGTTAAATAAAGATTCATATTCTTGAGGATATTTCACTGTTTCTTGTCTTTAAATGGTTTTAATTATGAAAGATGAATGTAGTGTTGGGAACATCATAATTCTCATGAAATAATTTTTTCAGCATCTTCACTGAAACATCAGCTTTATTTGACTGTCAGATACTTTAACATACCAAGCCTTTGAAATGTCTTACCATTTCGATGGAAAAAACGAAAATAACTTCGACTGCTTTATGCCTGTTATAATGGAGAATGCACTCTATATATAATATCTGCAATCAACTTATACAAGAGTCTTTACATTAAAGTAGCTTTAGTTATTTTTAAAAGCAGAAAAAAAATTCCTTATCAGTGTTTTTTCCCAACTGACTTTTGCTAAACATACCTCATGCTATGGTATGTGTTGGTTTGATAATCATCCCTGAATTAAAACATACCAAATGATTAAACTTGACCACAAGTGTAATAGTTTCGGGCAGGAAGAGTATTGTTGCTCTGTGCTTTATGGATTGAAGTTACTCTGGACCATATTAACTAGGTCTGGACTATATTTGTGGATATTGCCTCTACTGCACATGTAATAGAAAACATCAGGATAGAAAACATACCTAGAAAGGATATGCTTGCTTACTACTTAACAATAGTTAACTACTTTTTTGGCAATGTGTAATTCATGTCACTGACTATTCTTCTTTTTACCCCTATTGATGTGATCTCTGCCTGAGGTGTTTTTTTAACTCCTTGACCATACAAGCTTTTAGAACAGTTTAATCACTCAGAGATTTTGCTGCTTTTTTGCTACTAGGTGAGGTGATTAGTGTTGTTGAATGTATCTTTTCTTTTTTTTTTTTTTTTTTTGTCAATAGATGTTGTTAGTTAAGGTTTGGTCTCTTCATGATACAATATTAAAGGGTGCTGAATGGAGAAGTGTTTGAAGACTGATTAATTGTATCATCTAGTGTAGCTCAGTGTTGCAATTTCTCCAGTTATAAAGCTGATTAAGTTGATTGCTTGTTTCCATTCCCCAGTGCTCCTCCTAGTCTTCTCAGCTGTGGCAATGTGGAAACACAAAGCTCTTTAGAAAGACTTTCTCCACACACTAAGTGTTTTTTGCAAGGTCTCTTTAGGATGCTCTGTATTTAAAAAGCCAAAACTCCTTAAAGCCTTTCTCCATAGAGGAATTACAGAATGAGAAGGTATTTCTGGAAATGAAAGCTGAGCAGCTGACTGGTCACATCAGTGTCTGTTTTGGTTACTGTAGCTTCAAAAATAGTGATTTTTTTTATTTTATTTTTTTTTTTGCAGTCTTCCCATAGGAACTCAGATAAAAGGAGTTGAAATCATGTTCTGGGAGGGTTCCTTAGATACAAACACTAGATGTTAAGGTGTGGTTATCAGTTCCAGTCCCCCCATGACTGAGGACATGGTTGGCTTCTCTCAGACCCTACTACAGCTGAAGATAAAGCAAATGGAAATAGTATTTTACTGTCCTTCCCTGTTCCTGGTGAAGTTCCCTGCCTGATAAACTCCTGCTCATGACACCGCACTCCCCCTCCTGTCAGCCCTGCTGCTTCTTCTCCAAGGCATGCGCTTACTCACCATCTTTAGTAGTTTGAAATGCTGCAGAAATTGTGTAGTTGGTTTACCCCTCTCTTTACTTTTGCAAATTCATTCTCAAGCATCACAAGGGAAGCTTCTGAATCTTTATTCAATGTCAGTAGTAGTAGATGAACTTTCTGGCACTCCTATATGAGACAGCAAAGTCCTGTCAATTTTAGAATAGTCACTTCAAGTAAACAGGTTTTCCTGCTCATCAGGTGTCTTGAAACCCTGGTAGCTTTATTGTGTGTGCGGCAGCTCATCAAAGGCAGCCTCTTGAAGCATTGAGTGGGTGAGAAAAAACGCTGGTTGTCCATCTGAGAACTTCCTAGTAGCCCAGCTCCTGTGTGGCAGCAAGACCCGTGGACGACAGGTCTTTGAACAGAAGCTGCATACAGATGCTTGTTCATCTACTAAACTAGTTCATTATGTGTTTTGTGTTTTTCTACTCATTTAGGTGTTCATTCTGCTGTGTGTATAATGCTCTGAGTGCAGATCACCATTCAGATCTCTGAACTGTCTGGCAGTTGTATCTAGGTCATCCCCGTGGAGGGCATGAGGTGCAGTTCCTGTAGACACCCTGTTCTGGGAAAGAGGTTTTGATTAGGGGCCTCACAATCATTCCCAATCTGTAGGAAGGAGGATGCTGCTGCTCTAAAATTGAATTATGTCAGCAAATGAGAAATATTAGGCAAAGGTACGCTTACCTATCATCATTGCTTTTCTGGCAGAGCTCTGTGAGGGGTATGAGAGTCCCCTCAAGTCCTGGCTCCTGATGTCCCCAGCTGGAGGTGTGCAAAGAGAGCTCTGAAGCTTTGGGAAGCTGGAAGGGTGTTCCTGAGGCTCAGCTGATATGCTCAGGCGCTTTGAGCCCTATCGGTGGTTATTTTTTATGCTTCTTTTTGCGTGTGTTAACTTATTCCTCACTCTTAAGTTCACAGTGAGCTATATGAAAAGGTAAATGGGAGTACTATAGCAACATTTTATGAGGAACAGACAGAAAGCAAGCTAGAAAGTCCGTTATTTGCTCAAAACCTGGCAACCCAGGCTCTTGCCTGTTCAGCAGCATTTTTGCTTTTACTTTGGTAACATGAACAAAAATCACAGCCACAAGAAATTATTTTCAATGTTCTTAAAATTAGTTTTGAGCTGCAGTAGTGGTAATGGCATATTTTTTTCTGTTTAAAGGCACAGAAATGAGATTAGAAGCACAGTTAAGATGGAGTGGTCTTGTCCAGTATGATCATCTTGTTCCTAGCCTCTCTACATTAAACAAGGAGTAATGCTAGTCGTAGTATATTTCCTTGGATTAAAAACTTGGTGCATTCAATAAATAACTATATGGGTAGCCTGTATGGTCCAGTCATATAATTTAAAGTTCCAGTCAAGTAATTTAAAAATTACTTCATACATGTCATCCTGAAAGTTGGTAAAACCTAATAGTTTAAGAGTATTTCACTTTAACCCTATCGTTTCAGTAGTAGAAGCTGCTGGTGGTGATGAATTTTTCGTGCTTTGCTAACTTTGCTGTATGAGTTTTCAGTTTTAAATTACTTCTTAACAGAGGAAGACATGATTGTAAAATGCTTCAAGGAATTTTCCAGACTTTCCCATTCAGGCTACTAATTTTGCTTTCACAAATGTGAGCAAGACTTCCGCTCGTTTCTTAATTATGCTCCGATCGCCAGTATTTTTACTTCTTATAACTGCTGATGTTTTGACCTGAAAGCCTACCCAACTGAATACACCTCAATGATTTCAACTTGTGAATAGGTCAACAGCTTTATTGGACTTAGTATGTAGTATAATGCAGGTCGTATAAAATTTCTGTACAGTATATGTGTATATAGGAAAGTCTGTATCTTGATTACTTATATTAATATTTGTATGTATGTATTTTAAAATTCAAAAGCATGTATTATAGTTTATAGGGAACATTTTCCTCCTGTAAGCAATCTCTCTTGTTCAGAGTAGTCTTCATCATGATTTCCAGTCGGGGATGTGTGGCATTGAGTTTGTCTGTAAAGCCTTAACACGTTCTGTGTGCGGTATGGCTCACCCGCTGGAAGAGGACTGTCCTGTGCTGTGTCCCTGGAGGCTGGAGATGTATCTGTTTGCGTTGTGGCTGTTGCTGAACCTTCCTGAGCAGACAGGCCAAAACTATCTCGCTTTCCTATCCCTGCTTTTAAGAAGCTGAAATCCTCTCACATAAGAGAGGATGATAATCCTCTGCCTTGATAATTAGATATCCCACTAAAAATAGCCTTTTTTTGGATGGAAACGTGCAGATTTGGTGAGAGGTCATTCTGTAAGCCTGTCTCTTCAACAAAGGTGAACATGTTCTGAACTGGAGCGTGGGTGTCTGTGCTCAGGGGGAAAATAAAGGTTCAATATTGAGACTGCATCAAGGATTTATGTTACAATTATTTTGCTTGATGGAAATAATTCAGTTTTGTTGGCAAAAGTTGAGCTCAGATCGGGAAATCTGTAATGACGCTGTGTAGAATGCAATTCTAGAAAGGCATATAAATTTTTGTGCTTTAAAATCCAAGTACCAGATACCGTGCAAGAGATCTGTAATTCTTATGTTGCAATTGCTTCCAAATTTCTTAATGTTTTCTGAGAAGATTTCTAACAGGTTGTTTTAACTAGAAGTTGCACTGTATAATATGTGTGTCTTTTTTCCAGTTTATTGAGAGAACATTCAATTGATGGCACTGGCTGGGCTCCAACTAGAACATTAAAGGTACCATTTCCTTTTAGATACATACATCAAACTAGACATAATTTTTTAAATACTTTTGTGGACTTAGAAAGACAGATAATGCAGTTTGCTCTAGAAACAACTAAATTTTTTGTAGTTCAACGAGTGTTGGTGGCAGTACTGAAACTAGTGATAGCTGATTATAGAAATGTTTGCTAGTTTTAGCATAGCTGCACAAATACTTCTTTTACTGCTGGAAGCTTTTGTAGAATATTATGCCTGTACATGACCCTGAGAAACCATGCTTGGTATGGGTGGTTTGCTTTTTTTTAACTCAGGCAACACATACAATAGCGTGATGTGAGAAGCACTAGCAGTATAATCCATGGCCCTTGTAACTTCCATTGTATTGATATTCCTGACAAAGAAATAGTCTGAGTTCCCCTCCCTGCCAAGTTCCTCTGAGTTAGGGAAACTTGGAAAAGTGAAAGGCAAGTTGCGTTTGGGAGAAACGCTATGTAGTACAGATTCAGAGTGGTGTAGTTACTGCACTGTTTTGAATTCTGTTTCATCCCCAGTGTTCAAAGCGGGGAGCAGCGCATCTGCAATTACGTATTGCATAAAACAGGGCACTCTTGGCTGGTTTAGTCACTGCAGTAGGGAACTAACTGCATCTGCCTCTTAACCTTGCCTCAAATGTAATTTTACATTTTGACTGCTTTTGTCTTGCTATGGGAAGCAGTTGGTTGTCTGTTTACTGTTACGTGACCTTGCTGTCAGTAGAGTCCTGCAGAGCACGGAACAATAATTTCCCTTTTGCTTTTACCAGGAACCCTCCCAGAACTGGCTCTTAAAGAGTGGTGGCTCCATTAGGTAGATAAAGGGAACATGCCAGGTGTTTGTTTCTTCTCAAAAGGCAAACTGAAAGCAAGTTTTATCTAATACTTGATTTCCTATTTGGCACTATGAATGAGATCTGTGTCTTTCTTCATCTGTAAAATCTCTTTGTGAGTATCTGACTTTCTGGAAGGTGAAGTAGAATCAATGTGTGTGTGGTGTTTAGTGGGTTTTCTTAAACACCCTTTCCGTATTTTTTTCATCAGCTAGTATGATTTTGTTTTGCCCCTTGTGTTTCTGTTTTTGTATTAAGTTAAATCAAGACACTGACTGGGTAATTAAGTTAACTGTTTCTGTTTCTGTCCCTGTCTTTCCCAGTGAAATTTTTTTGGACTACAAGTTTTAAGCTTCAGCCATTAGAAAATCAGTACACCGATATTGCAACTGGATAAGAATGTACAGATATTTTTATCTGTTCTCCTAGCTTTGTTCATGGTATCTTTCTTATAGAGCTTAAAATACTGCCGCATGTTAAGGTTATGGGTGGGAATAACTGCTGACATTGTGTGTACTTAACTTCCTGTCCTCAGTGATCATGGAAGGTGCATATGGATATCCATTTTATTTTTGCATCAGTTTGCTAATTGCATGTGATTATTTTCATAGATTAAACATTCTGGAATCTCAACTACCAGGAGACTCAAATGACTGAATAATATGAAGCATTTAGGGTGTGTTTACTTCCAGTAAGTTAGAGGGGAAAAAAACCTCCACAACCCCAAACAAAAAACCCAGGAACTTTGTGGGTGTTGAAATGAAAGATTCAGCAAGAGAGGAGGAGATGATAGTCTCCAGAGTCTCCATTTTAAGTAAATGTACAGTTTCAGTAAGTGTTCTCTCACTTGTCATGTTGTCACTCGATATTTTTTGTGATGACATCTCAAATCACAAGTACCACGTGTTGGTCCTGCCTTTCAAGTTGTGCCCCTGTAGGATCATGGTAGTTAAACTGTGCTTCTAGTACAAAAGTAGCTTAAAAAAAATAGAGCAGAAATAGCCATTGGGGATGTTGGGAAGCTACGAGCACTATTCCCCAAACAGTGTTTTTGCTTGGGATACAAATTGTAATTAGAAGGTAACTGTCATCTGGGGTGAGTCTGTTCTTTGTCAAAGATATTTTTGTTCATTCCAAGTATCCTCTGTGAAAGGACTAATAAACATGGGAAAGGTGGGTCTTGGTCAGAGTCAGAATTCCTGACAGCTGCTCTATCATGTACTCTTTCAGATCTTTGGCTGATTGTCACATGTGAAGCTTCCTATGTGTTTTGAAGCTTCATCCGTGTCCCAAGTGCTTAGATTCCAGGCTACACCTGTTTTTGAGATGAAAAAGATGGAATTGTGCTAGATTATTGACAGTATGGCCACAAGGTCAAGTTATTTGTCAGTGTGAATTAATAATTGTGGTAGGTATGTGCTAACTGTGGACCACATAATTACATGAAACAGGGAGTGACTGGTAGCAAACAAGATCCATGAGATATGACACAGGTTATTTTTATCTCTTAACACACCACCTGCACCCACTAATCTAGCCTTCCTGAATCATTTGCTTCCAACATTTGGACACCAGGGTTTGGAGAACCTACTCTTCTCCGCAAGTGGAATGCTGTGTGAATTGGCGCAGTAGCACTATGGATAATATCCGATCTTGGCAGATGATGGACTTGAAAGTCAGAATTTCATATTCTACTCATCAGTAATACGAAGGCAGCCTGGTCTTCTGGAGGACTAGTACCCAAATTTGTCCAATAAAGCACTCTAAACCACTGTTCAAATATTTAATTTGAGATTGGGGATGTACTGTATTTCTGTGACAAGAATTGGCAGGCATTACTAATGCAGCCATTCTGAGTGCATTAGTGAAACCATTCAGATAGATAATACAAAACCTCAAAAGCTACATGTACAAACCAGCTCTGCTGTTTGCTACTGCATGCATTCATGTTATATGCTTACCCTTTTACAAGGCTTTGGTTTTATAAGTTTTTAGATTGTGTCTCCTCTTCTCTATCCTTGTGGTGGCAGCAGAGCTCTTACATGAAAAATCCTTCAAAATAAACTGCTGTGACCTTTTTAATACTTTCTTTAGTGTCAAATGGGTAGAAACATGGAGGCATTTAATTTTATGCCTTTTAACTTTTTGAAATAAAAATTAAAATCTTCTAAACACTCTGTAGAAGTTACCTGATAAAATGTATTTTAACAGTGTAGAGAATTCTTAAGGAGAAAAAAAAAGCTAACTCAATTCTGTTTTCTAGCATTTTGTTGCCCTCTGTCATCTCATCCATGATTGAGTTCTCTTTAAGTTACTAAGTGTTGAGCATTATCTTTTTTTCTACTTTACTACCTCCTGCTACTGATTGCATTTCCATGGACCACTGTGAAAAGCAGCCTGTATACTCGTGAAGACACTAAATGTGCTATTTCTGAGTTCATGTATTAAATACTTTCCAATTCAGTTTATGAGGAAAGTTGGGCTTTAACCCTGAAACAGAACATTGGTAGGTTAATGTTTTAAAGCAAACTATATATAACTTTTTAATCACTGTTCATGTGATTGTAAATGTTTTCTTTATCCGTAGAAACACACCCGAATCTTAAATTCTTAGATAATTTCTGGTTGCAGTTTGGCCCACAGACTATGGACCATGTAAAAACTGATGCAGTGCTTTTTAACTGATCTTTGTGTAATCATCTTTATAGCTAGCTGTGAGTTAGCAACAGGATCTTATTTATCTTTTAGTCTCCATTCTGTTATGTTCTGCACCATTTTATTGCATACTTTCCTCCCTAAAACAGAGTATTCCTAAAGCTGAGGACTGCTGAAGTTGTTTTGGACCTCTGCTCAGACTGTCTGAACTTGCTTGTCGTCGTCTTTTAGGTTTGATGGTCAAAATTGAAATTTTCCAGTCAGAAAGCAAATAGATGGTTTTGATTCCGTTCTGTTCTCAGATTTTGATGTCACTGGAGATACCAGCTTTTAAATACCTAGTATGAAATAGCACTAATGCTGTTCCTCTGATACCCTGCTTCTTCCTCCTCAGAAATTCCAATTTCAAACTCAAAAGTGCTTCAGTAGCTCCTGTTAGTCCTCAGCATGCACTTCTTGTACCTTAATCGCCATGAGTATCATCTGCCTAGTTAAGATAGGCCTCCCTAGTATTCATCAGCTTTCTTTCAAATGTTTGTTTTCACTTTGCTATAAAATTATCTTGAAGTGGATCTGTGTATTGTGATTGCCTAATTGGTTCTAAAAGTCAAGCTGTTCCTTCTGCAATTACCTCCAACAAACTACAACTGGAAATTGGTTGGTGACTGATTTGTGAACCATAAAAATAAAGCACATTGTGCAGCTCTGCTGACTGACTCTGGAGGGCTGAGCATAGTAACATTAAAACCAACATTTAAAAATGTATGATGGGCGTTCATGTTCACAAGGAATACTTGGTCTTTTTTTTTTTTTTTGTAACCCTGTTCTGATAGAGCTACAGTTGGTCTCAAATAATTGGAGAACTGTTTTCTTTAGGGTTTTCGTGTTTACTGGTTAGGTATATATGCATTCAAGTTTTTCAGTGAAGTATTTTAAAGAGCTAGTTTTTGTCATTTTTGCGTTCCTGCTGTCAGAGAGAGGAACAGGAATGGGAAATATCAAGATAGTCTTAAACTATAGATAAGCAGACAGCTTTTTATACCAACCTATAGGAAAACAACCTTTTTTTTGGGGAATTCTTTTCCCATAACTTCAGATACTAGGTTAAGAAATATCTGTCTGTGCTATTAGATTATCTAATCTAAAAGGAATCAAGACTCATTTGCAATAAACTATTGCTATTTGGAGTTTATCCTTAAGAGGCTTGTTTATTTAATTAGTGTTTAATACTAAATGGGAAAATATGCCCTATTTGTTGCATTGGTTCTGCTGTTGTCTTCAGGCAGTAAAATGACTTGATTATAGTTTGACATTTGAATGATTTCAAGTATCTTGGAGAAGTAAATCAGAGGGCCTTGACTTAATTTTTCCAGTTACCTTTACCTCAATGTTTAAGCATAAATCTGAGTAGTTTTAAAAACTTTAATATAAGCACAAAACTATCATTCATCATCTTAATGAATGTGGGTGGTCTGCTTCAAAATTATATGTAATT